CTTATTAAAGTTAATAAACAATTTAATTCTTAATAATCTAACCATTTAAATGAATCAAGTGATACAAGTTTAAGGAAAACTAGTAATGTGTAACCATGTTAGTTTTCTACAGAACACCAGTAGTTCAGACAGCCACTGACTGAAAAAGCAAATTACGGAAAAGAGCCACTAACATAAGACCCAAGAGAATTTTAATCCTAATTCCTTATATGTAATAAAACCTAGACTTCTCTAATTCTTTATTTTAGACAAGATTTGCTACCTTACTGCTATATGTTTCAAAGGCTTTCTTCTCAAAAAAGTTACTCCAAAAGTATTTACAGTATAAAAAGCCCATAAACTACAGAGCTGTATTTCACTTAGTTGGACAGATTCATAAATAATGAGTCAGGTATTTATAAAAGTATCACAACTCATATTGATCATATAATAGAATGAATCATGTTGGCATCACTGGATGTTCACCATAAGCCACACCTTATGCCAGGCACTTCACCTGATTTAAAGTTCTTAGCAGTCTTATGCATAAATATTGTGACTGCTCCCATTTTCTAGAGGAGGAAATTGGAGTTTTAAGAGATAATTTTCCCAAATATGGCTCCAGATAACTCTCAAATACAAATCCCAAAATCTGTTTCGCCCCATGGTCTCAACTAACAGAAGCTTGAATAGCTTCTTTATTTTCATCCATTCTTTCAAAAAATAGCCATCAAATGCTTTCTAAGTACCAGGCACTGTCCTGGGTGCTGGTGACACCGTGATGTTTTAGAAATAAAAAGAAAAAAATTAAATAACAAAATTCCTACCTGCAGAGAACATACATTCTGACAGAAAAAGTCAATAAAATGCACAGTACGTCAGATACCCACAAGCACTATGAAGAAAATTATCACAGATTAGCAGGAACGGGTTAAAGGCTGGTTTTGACAGGAATCAGCATGCTCACAGGAATTTCCTGCTTCCCAAACCTCGTTCTCCATCCCCACTTCCTTAACCCTCCCTCACCTCTAACCAAAGTTAGACAACTAAAAGCTCTAAGACCAAATTCTGGTTTAGAATCCCAGGAAAAAACTCTAAACTGAAAAGCAGGAACAGTTGACGAGGGTAGAACGGGTATTTTCGTATATCTAAAAATGAATATTTTAAAAATTATTTTTAAATGAGATAACCAAACTTTGATCAGATCATTTTTAAATCTCCTGTGCTGTTACTTCTACCCACCACATCTACCTGATAGTCAACATGCTTTTTAGTGGAAAAAGAAAAGACCTTTTTTATGTTTTTACCATTTTTATTGACAGTTGTAGGACAGTTTGGTGTCTCAGAAAGAAAATCTGTTCCTCTGCAATGGCTTGAGCAATAAAAACCGCCCAGCAGAGAAGCCAGTTTCAGCAAAGACAAATCTGGACGTCTCTAGGCTACGCGCTGTTAACCATGAACTGATCGTGTCTCTCACGCAGACATTCTGAAACACTGAAGCTAAACAGAAAATGTTAGGACTTACCACATACATATGCGAACCAGACACCCTAAACCGAACACCAGCATTCTGTGATGCTGTTACTGGTTTGTTTGTTTTTTAATTTTTAAGAAAGATTACTTGAAGGCTTCAATTAATATTTACATTTTAAGAATAATTTATATGCCAATCCAGAACATGAAAGGCAATGACCACACTTGTATAATGACTATTCCTACACATGATTGTTCCTACAAATCTTTTGGAGAACCTAGCTGTCTCTTCCACTGTTTTAGAGTCAGATATTTAAGAGTACTATGCCATCAGTCTTACCTCTGCTGCTAAGTAGTTCCCAGTTGCAAGATGTTTAAATCTGAACAAGCTGTTCCACTGACCTGCACCCCCACGGCATGGGTCGTGATGAACCACCTACAGACAAAAAAAGCAATAATAATGGCTAAAAGGTATTCATGGTCCTGGCAAGCAAATGCCAATGGTTTACAGGGACTGCCTGCCTGCTAATGCTAACTTGTCAATTCTTTGTTTTCAGGAGAGAACAATGTGGCAGAAAAACAAAATTGCCCATAAGTGACCAAGAGACATAACAGACACCCATGTTTATTACTTTCTTTGGGAACCAAGGAAAAGTTCGCTCCAAGCAAGAGCCTTTGGTAGTCCCACACCAACTCTACCTGCACACATAATCGGCCCTACATGACCTTGCCTGAAGATCATCCTGTGATCATTTATTTTATGCTCTCTTCCAAACTAGAGGGTCCATTACTTGAGGGTGAAGACTGATTCTTCTGCTTCCATATCTTCCTGCAGCATTCTCTATTATGCTGTGAACTTAACAGGCCCTTAACAAACATATATATCAAAGAGGATACGAAAACTTAAAGATGATGTCTGTTTTTATGAATTCCAAAAATAACCATTTCCAACTCCTGCATTTTCAACATCCTATCATGTGTCTTATTTTTAAGTAGTACTAGACATTAAAGATAAAACTGAAAAAGGAAAATAAACAAAAGCCACTCGGCCCTTTCTCCCCTGTGAATAAGGGTATAATAATAATAAAATAAATACTGCTAGATAGTTCACAACTCAAATTGCTGGAAACTGCTTCCCCTACCTTCAATGACATGAATAATGCTTTGAAATTAAAGAACTGAGCATTTTTAAAAAGCAAAATCATGAAAAGATCATCTTCCTGCTGTCGAGGGCTATTTTCCACTTACTGTGCAAGTGGAATTAGAAATTAATTTTTTATCACAATCACTGTGATTCTACCACCCCTCTGGACACTTTCACACACCAGTGGGCAGATATCCTAAGATACAACTATGCCAGGATCTTGTCTGAACTTAGCTGACATATAAAATATAAGACTCTAACTCATGGATGCCAGCATTTTGAGGCTTTTGATTTTAGAATACAACACAGAAGCACCCATTCTATTATTATACTAGTTATAATCAGTAAAAAACAGATTCCTAGCTTTCAGTTTTCAGGTAGATATTTAATGCTTAATTCTTCTTCCCCTACCTTTCCATAAAAAATGAAGTTATCTAAAGTATTAAAGGTCAGAGAAGAGATTCTACAAATACACCAGATCCTTTAACAGACAAAATAGCACCCAGCAGGTTAATTTGTGTTCTTACAAGTAGAATGAAAAGTCTTTGAAATTCTTTTCAAGGAATGAACTGTTTTTATTTTTTGGTTTTTAATGAACTAAGGTCTTGCATCCTTATTAAAGTTAATAAACAATTTAATTCTTAATAATCTAACCATTTAAATGAATCAAGTGATACAAGTTTAAGGAAAACTAGTAATGTGTAACCATGTTAGTTTTCTACAGAACACCAGTAGTTCAGACAGCCACTGACTGAAAAAGCAAATTACGGAAAAGAGCCACTAACATAAGACCCAAGAGAATTTTAATCCTAATTCCTTATATGTAATAAAACCTAGACTTCTCTAATTCTTTATTTTAGACAAGATTTGCTACCTTACTGCTATATGTTTCAAAGGCTTTCTTCTCAAAAAAGTTACTCCAAAAGTATTTACAGTATAAAAAGCCCATAAACTACAGAGCTGTATTTCACTTAGTTGGACAGATTCATAAATAATGAGTCAGGTATTTATAAAAGTATCACAACTCATATTGATCATATAATAGAATGAATCATGTTGGCATCACTGGATGTTCACCATAAGCCACACCTTATGCCAGGCACTTCACCTGATTTAAAGTTCTTAGCAGTCTTATGCATAAATATTGTGACTGCTCCCATTTTCTAGAGGAGGAAATTGGAGTTTTAAGAGATAATTTTCCCAAATATGGCTCCAGATAACTCTCAAATACAAATCCCAAAATCTGTTTCGCCCCATGGTCTCAACTAACAGAAGCTTGAATAGCTTCTTTATTTTCATCCATTCTTTCAAAAAATAGCCATCAAATGCTTTCTAAGTACCAGGCACTGTCCTGGGTGCTGGTGAAACCGTGATGTTTTAGAAATAAAAAGAAAAAAATTAAATAACAAAATTCCTACCTGCAGAGAACATACATTCTGACAGAAAAAGTCAATAAAATGCACAGTACGTCAGATACCCACAAGCACTATGAAGAAAATTATCACAGATTAGCAGGAACGGGTTAGAGGCTGGTTTTGACAGGAATCAGCATGCTCACAGGAATTTCCTGCTTCCCAAACCTCGTTCTCCATCCCCACTTCCTTAACCCTCCCTCACCTCTAACCAAAGTTAGACAACTAAAAGCTCTAAGACCAAATTCTGGTTTAGAATCCCAGGAAAAAACTCTAAACTGAAAAGCAGGAACAGTTGACGAGGGTAGAACGGGTATTTTCGTATATCTAAAAATGAATATTTTAAAAATTATTTTTAAATGAGATAACCAAACTTTGATCAGATCATTTTTAAATCTCCTGTGCTGTTACTTCTACCCACCACATCTACCTGATAGTCAACAGGCTTTTTAGTGGAAAAAGAAAAGACCTTTTTTATGTTTTTACCATTTTTATTGACAGTTGTAGGACAGTTTGGTGTCTCAGAAAGAAAATCTGTTCCTCTGCAATGGCTTGAGCAATAAAAACCGCCCAGCAGAGAAGCCAGTTTCAGCAAAGACAAATCTGGACGTCTCTAGGCTACGCGCTGTTAACCATGAACTGATCGTGTCTCTCACGCAGACATTCTGAAACACTGAAGCTAAACAGAAAATGTTAGGACTTACCACATACATATGCGAACCAGACACCCTAAACCGAACACCAGCATTCTGTGATGCTGTTACTGGTTTGTTTGTTTTTTAATTTTTAAGAAAGATTACTTGAAGGCTTCAATTAATATTTACATTTTAAGAATAATTTATATGCCAATCCAGAACATGAAAGGCAATGACCACACTTGTATAATGACTATTCCTACACATGATTGTTCCTACAAATCTTTTGGAGAACCTAGCTGTCTCTTCCACTGTTTTAGAGTCAGATATTTAAGAGTACTATGCCATCAGTCTTACCTCTGCTGCTAAGTAGTTCCCAGTTGCAAGATGTTTAAATCTGAACAAGCTGTTCCACTGACCTGCACCCCCACGGCATGGGTCGTGATGAACCACCTACAGACAAAAAAAAGCAATAATAATGGCTAAAAGGTACTCATGGTCCTGGCAAGCAAATGCCAATGGTTTACAGGGACTGCCTGCCTGCTAATGCTAACTTGTCAATTCTTTGTTTTCAGGAGAGAACAATGTGGCAGAAAAACAAAATTGCCCATAAGTGACCAAGAGACATAACAGTTAACTCACTGTGTATGCATGATGCTCATGCTTTGTATCTGCAAACACAGCCTTACTCCAAAAAAAAACATGTTTCCCAGGCCCAAAGTGGAAATACCGTGTGGTTTCCTCCCATTTGTTATTCAAACATTCATTCAACAGATTGCATTAGAGCCTACTATGTGCCAGGTACTCTTACAGGCAACAGGGACACAGCAATGAATGAGACTGGAGCTTCCAGTAAATAAGACTTGGCAAGTGCCAGGAGGAAATAAACAGAGGGCATGATTGAGCAACTAGGGAAGGTTGCTTTCGATAGGGCAAGCTGCAGGGGCTGCTCTGAGCAGACAGATGTGAGCTCAAACCTGCTCTCACCTGCAGGCTAAGAATGGACAGCCACGCAGAGAGAATGAAGAGACCATTCTAGGCAGAGAACCACCAATGGCTAGGCCTGGAGGTCTGAACTAACTTAATTCTTGGCCCTTTTCATGCATGCTTTTCATGAACTCTGTGTCCTTTGATACCTGTCCTTGGAACCAGTCTGCCCCAGATGCTGAGCCACTAGGCTCTAGGAAATAAAAGCAGAAGCTCTCAAACAGCTGGTTAGGGCAGGCAGCTGGTGGTAGCAGCAAAGCTCAGGTTTTACAATCTGAAGATGACTGTGTTGGCTTCCCAGGGCCACCAATTACTATGATACGGTCACAACAAGGAAGTTAACATCTTGAAGCCTATTTCTTCATGTACAAAATGGGTTAATTCATCAAAGGCATATCAGAGTGCTAGGAGAACTTTCATTATTCTCCTTAAACAGGTTGCCTTCTTTTTATTAGTATGGACCACCCTTGGACTCCTGCCCCAGCCTCAAATTCTGTGTGCTAATGTACATAACTCTCTAATGCCTTTTCTAGACAGACTCCAGCTTCCAGGTCTTCCTCTGCTCCAGTAGATCAATTAAGATAACAATCATAAAAATACTTCCAAGTAGATTAAGTCTACAAAAACACTCCTTCTGTGAACAAAATTCCTGCCCATCCTACAAGGCTCAGTTCTCAAGTCAAACTTCTATGAATTCTTTGCTAATCACACCAGCGAGTGTGATCTCATCCATGTTTGAACTCGAACTCCTTCGGGAAGGCAGATATAAGAGAAGCTGATAAAACCTTCTGGTTGTCTCACATACACACACATTTTGTATCCAATTGCTAGAGATTAACAAATAACTCGAAGCTCACCATGGATCTCAGACTAAGAATTCCTGTCCTAGAAGTGAGGAGGTCTAGCAATGGTAGGAGAGCTTGCTAGAGAACAAACTAGGGTTACGTTGGAGGGATGCTGCTGGCATTAACGGTCAGTTGCCAAGATACTGTAAATTCTGCAATCCATGAGAGGGTTCAGCACATGTTAGATGTTGTGTGTGGCACCCAGGACCATCCCCTCCCTTCTATGTGTGCCCTTATATCACAGAGGCTCAGCAGGGTTCAAGCGACAGTCATTAGAATTGGAAAGCACAGGAAAGTAGCAGGGGGACCTCTCTTTGGCTCCAGTAAAGGTGGTGGCAGCTGCGTAGTGGCAGGCTCTTACAGAGTACGGTAGACACGGAGTCCTGAAGCGGGAAGCCACGGCCTGGAGGCTCAGAGGAGGAACAGCAGCGGCTTCAGGCCCTGCCAGACCTTGAAATAAGACAACAGTGCATGCCCCATTTCCCCTATCCAGTCCTCCCAGTAACTCTGAAACCTAATTTCCTCTGTTAAATACCCTTTGCTTGAAACACCTGATGTTCAGGCTTCTACACTGTGCAGCACAGAATAGAGAAGGGTCCCACTACCTACCTCTTTCAAATGCCCTAGAGAAGTAAGCCTACCACGGGTGCAAGTTGGTACCACTCTAATCCATAATCACTGTAAAAAGGTTCTACACCCAGATATTTAATAAGTCCAAAAACTTAAGAGAAATTCACTTGGGAGAGGGAAGCTGAAATGAATTCAAGACATTCTTTCAGCATTATTGCATAATTTATTCACTCTCTCCACTCTGACTTCTCAATGGATTATTCCATTTCCAACTTACATTTTGTTGCAAAGGATCACAGCGCAGTGATACAGTTACAGCAAAAGCCATAAAACTAGTAGTAAATATGGAAGAGGAAAGATTCAAAATTCCTTTTAACATACTTGGAGCGAGCCATCGAACAGACACACGAGATGCAGGGAACTCACTGGACAGGGAAGTCACTCTATGACTTTTTCATCACTAGATTCCATTAATACAGTTTTAAAATAACATTTCATATTGCTATCTCTATATTTTTTCAATTTTTTGGAGCACCGTGATAAGCACTGTGAAAATGCACATTTTAATTCTGTATTGATTTCAGGTTGCCTGATACCATTCAATCTAACCCTGATATGAGAAGCTGTGAAGTAGGCTTCAGGCAAGAATATCAGGTGGCTTTGGTTGTGTTTTTTATTCCCCAAGACTTTCTCAATTCCTTGTCACCTATGGAAAAAAATATGGTCTCCAAATATATGGAACAATACGGTCTCCTCTGAACACCAGACACTGAAAGCATCCCTCAACATGTAGTAGGCTTTCAAGATAAAAGTGTGTTTTTCTGTACTATTGTACCTCTCCATTCTAAACCACATCATAACTTAGAGAATTATTTTGATGTTGCATTTATAATTTAAGGCTCAACTCACTGGCATAAACATTATACTTCCTCATTGTCTCTGTATCTATATTCTGTAATTTGCCTCATTATTGCTGTTTCACTTATGGTTATTTCCCTCTTGTTTTAATTATGTACAAATAAGCCTGTTCTGTGATTACCTCTCCCAACATTAGATATTACTTAAGGGCCTCTGCTTTTTCATTTTCCTGTACTAGGAAAGAAAGTCTTCTGAAATGTGTCTTCCGCCACTTCCTTCAAATCTTAATGTATCCATCAAAGAAAAGTATAAATATTATATCTTCTGGAGTTGGTCATTTGCATGGTGAAATAAATACTATTTTATTGTAAGTCATTTTCCATTTATTTCTTCCTTATTTTAAAATTTGGGTTTTATTAATTTTAAGTCATGAGAATATGTAAATAATATGACCTGAATTTCATTTTAGGATATTAATGGAAGTGTCACAAAATGTATGCTATAAAATGGTAGTGATGGGTTTTAAATGGTTGAGAACCACTGCCACAGGCCTGGATATCCATTAAATCAAGATGGAACCTACCAGATTTTGGCTTGTTCGTAGGTGATTATGTATATCTTGTCTTCTCCACTGTCTAGAAAGGTTCTATAAAGAAAAGTCCATGCCTTATATTTTCCTAACTACTCTACTATATTGGCACCTGTAAGAAATACTTTTTAAAGACTAAATGAATTCTTAATAGTAAGTCTCCTCATTCCAACAGAAATGACGCCCTCAGAGAAAAAAAAAATGTTCTCTGTCAGAACTGAGAAGTTCTGTTACCCGTCTTTGAACAGTCATCCTACTCCTCCTTCACCCCAGTGCTATTTGAGGCACATGCCTTTAGTTGGATCTGTCTTCACAACATTTCACACTGGATTTTTAAAAAGCAAAATGGCAGAGAGAGAAAGAGAGAAGACAGCTAAAGGAGGTCGTAACATTTCAAATCTGTCATAGAAATGAAGGGACAGAAGCTAGTTTACAAAAATTATTGTTCTGTGGGTCTATCTTAAACAATGCTTCTAACCATAAAATAATCAGCCTAGTGAATCTTGCATTTTTGATATAAATATTTATAAAAAGCCAAAAAGTATTTACACACCTCTATTTCCCAGAGTGCTTTAGAACTAGTAGCAGAAGTGGCTGATTGACGCAAGGTTGTACGAAGGAAAATATGTTGTTTTTTCTCATACTCGTCACATGTCAGAAACTTCTCTTGTTCCGCATGAAACAGTCTAACAACATCACCCTAGAAAAACAGGTCAAGAAAACTATTTCCAAGAGAAATCTGAATAAGCAGGCAAAGAAGCAGATGTTCTTTCTAGTTTTGATATACTAGGCCCTTCTGTTAGCTGCTTGGCTTTTAATTATTATTGATACATCTCAAAATATAGGAAGGAAACTCAGTAAAACACACACAGTGAGTTTACAGTCACATTCTAAACTATGAACGCCAATGAACAGGCAAGCTTTGCATCTAGAAGTTCAGTAAGACTACTTTCTTCCAGCAAATGTTCCATGTAGCACATACTTACTCCTTTTAGTACATCCTCTCGATAGGAACTATATTTCATGAATAAAGTGATTTTCCAGCTAGTGTTGCAGTTAACAGCATTCACCTATTAATGAAGAAACATGAAGTTATAAAGGTCACAGATTCCATTTTATACCAGAAATTATTACTGCAACTAGTAAGAAGAGAAAAAGATAACTTTGGACAAAGAGGTATGTACCCCAATACAAACATCTTTATCAAAAATAGAAATAGCTACTTTATATGACCCATAGAATATTAATTACCAAAACTGGGATTCTGCTCATGAAAACAATGAAAAAAACTATATGGATTTTTTTTTTCCTCTGGAAACAATCAATACATTCCTTTCCTTTCCTCCTGAACTTACCTCTTTACACCCTGGATTATCAAGAAGCTCTATGTTGCTGGCATGTAGAGGCTGTCCTGCATTCACGGGCATCAAAACAACTTTATCACCTACAACAATCTAGGAATCAGAAATGAGTTGAAATTGAGAGACTGCATGGATCTTTGATAGTATGTTTGAAGCCAAAAACTAATTGCAAAGAAGTCCTCATTACTGACCTAAACCTGACCTGTTTATTTTCCATAGAAATTTTAGTTCAATTCTTTTACTCTTTGAGGTAAAATATATTCTGATAAACGATCATATAATCATATACCATAGTACTTATCCATCTGGATTTATAAAGCTAGTGTAGATCCTTTTCTTGTTAGTTTCCCATTTCAGTTAGAGTTTTCTTAATATAAATAAATAGGTCATTATACCTCCACACAAGGTCTCAGGCAATGAACACAGCAGATAATAGAGAGTGAATGCATCTACCACAATAAACCAATCTGCCTAAATATTAGAAACACTTGAAGTCCAAGTAGAAAATATTATACGTTTGTATTACCTCTGGAATAAAAACAAGTCTCCAAATTTGATCTTTCCCATAATCTCAGAAATTTATTAAATATTAATCCCATCTGGGTTTAGGAAATGCAGAATTGTATAACAATTTATAGAAACAGGCTTACTGTATGAGCATGGGGCCCTGGCTCGCTTTTATACTAAATATCCAAAATTAATATTGCTCCTTAAACCTGGTGCTCATTTTTAAATAAGAAAAAAATTAATTCAATATGAGAACAGTGCTCTAGATAATTAAGTCTAAGTTGATTTTTTATTTATGTTATCACTAACAATGTCAAATTTATCTTCAAGAATTTATATTCATAACTCAAACTGTAGGGAAATGAAGTTATGCTTTCTTGATGATATCAATGAACAGTTTAATTTTACTGTTATTAAATTTACTTCTTTTGCTAAATTCCATTAGAGGACTTACTATGATAGTATCTACACTCATTTGTAGAATTGCTCACCATCTCAGAAATGGAAACAACTATCTTCTCTGCATATTTCTTATCAACTAAATATTAAAGTAGATTAGTTTGACAGGTAACTGAAAAACAAATTAGGACTTAGACAATAAGAATAAATGAACCTTCTCCCTGTATCTTAATCTAAACAAAGACTTTAAAAAGCATAATTTCATATCTTCAATACAAATTAACTCTTTATGGTTTATATACAGGAGTCTACATGCATCTATAGTGTTGTCACCAACCATATCTGGAGATTCAAATATGACAGAGAAACCTCAAGTTCACTATTCTATCAAAGGAAGATTGTTCTTTGGTTTGCAGAAATAGCTTCTATTGTTTGCAGGACTGGTCTGTATTCTTTAACTTGCCTTTCAAGTCCATAATCAGTTGGATGCTGTGACTCACAAAGACCCTTTATAGAAGCTCTCTAAGTGCAGATAAGGAAAGATCATTAAGAAGCAGTGTTAGGTGAGAGGATGATAAAGCAGAGCTGGGCTATGTTTCTGTAAAAAAAGGAAGGGAGGGAGTAAGAAAATATGTATGCATAAGAAACCTCTCCAGTGGTTAAGTGTCAAAGAGGGGATGGGAATTGGAGAGAGAAAAAGAGAGGATAGGAGATAGACTTTTCAAGATATATCTTACATTGTTTTCTCTCTTTGAACCATGAATCAGTATTTTTAAGTAAATATAAACAAAAACATATAAGTCAACATGACATAAACATATTTCAGCATCCCTCCTAAAACAATAACACTTGTTAATGCACATGATTCAAGGCAGCTCCAAGTGTCAAAGCCATGTTAAAATCTGAGCAGTCCTCCCAAATTCCCAGAAAAATACAACCTTCCAAGACTGAACTAGGAAGAAACAGAAAATCTGAACAGACCCATTACCAGCAACAAAATTAAACTGGTAATCAAAAAATTACCAACAAACAATAGTCCAGAACCATATGGCTTCACAGCTGACTTCTACCAAACATTTAAAGAAGAGCTAATACCCATCCTCCTAAAAGTATTCCAAAAAGCAGAGGAGGAGGGAATACTTCCAAACTCATCCTATGAAGCCAGCATCAGTCTAATACCAAAACCAGACCAAGATACTATAAAAAAAGAAAAGTTTAGACAGATAGCCCTGATAAATATAGTTGCAAAAATTCTCAACAAAATAATGACAAACCAAATCTAAAAATACAACGAAAAGATGACCCATCATGACCAAGTGGGATTTATTCCAGAGAGGCAAGGATAGTGCAATATTCATGAATCAATGTCATACACCACATTAACAAATAGGACAAAAACCACATGATCATCTCCATAGATGCTGAAAAAGCATTTGACAAAATTCAGTATCTATTCCTGATAAAAACTCTCAACAAAATGAGTATACAGGGTACATACTTCAACATAATAAAGGTCATACATGACAAACCCACAGCTAATATCATACTCAATGGCAAAAAGCTGAAAGCTTTTCCTCTGAGATCAGGAATAAGACCAGGATGCCCACTCTCCCCACTTTTATTCAACATAGTACTGGAGGTCCCAGCCATAGCAATCACACAACACAAAGAGATAAAAGGCCTCCAATTGGTAAGGAAGAAGTAAAACTGTCATTATTTACAGATGACATATTATACATAGAAAACCCTAAAGACTCCACCAAAATATCATTAGAACTAATGACTGTATTCAGCAAAGTTGCAGGGTACGAAATCAATACACAGAAGTCTGTTGCATTCCTATATACTAACAACAAACTAGCAGAAAGAGAAATCAGGAAAACAATTCCATTTATAATTGCATCAAAAAGAATGAAATACCTAGGAATAAACCTAACCAAGGGAGTGACAGACCTATATTAAAAAAAACTGTAAGACAATCATGAGAAAAACTGAAGACACCAATAAATGGAAATCTATCCCATGTTCATGGGTAGGAAGAATTAATATAGTCAAAATGGCCATTCTGCCCAAAGCAATTTACAGATTCAATGTAATCCTTATCAAAATGCCAATGGCATTTTTCAATGAACTAGAGCAAATAATCCTAAAATTCATATGGAACCACAAAAGACTACAAGTAGCCAAAACAATCCTGACAAAGAAGAACAAAAATGGGGGGATTACACTCTCTGATTTCAAGATATGCTATAAGCTACAATGATCAAAAGAGTATGGTACTGGCACAAGAACAGACCCATAGATCAATGGAACAGAATAGAGCCCAGATATAAACCCATGCATCAGAGGTCAATTGATATACGATAAAGGAGCCACAAATATATTAACAGGGAAAAGACAGCCTCTTCAATAACTGGTGTTTGGAAATGGACAGTTAAATGCAAGAGAATGAAATGGGATTACTAACTCCATACACAAAATTAAATTCAAAATGGATCAAAGACCTAAACGTAACACATGAAAACATAAAACTCTTAGAAGAAAACACAGGCAAAAGTCTCTTGAACATAAGTATGACCAATTTTTTTCCTGGACACATCTCCTCAGGCAAGGGAAACAAAAAACGAGCAAGTGGGACTACATCAAACTAAAAAGTTTCTGTACAGTAAAGGACACCATCAGCAGAACAAAAAGGCAACCTATAGTATGGGAGAATATATTCATAAACGATTCATCCAATAAGGATTTAACATCTAAAATACATAAAGAAGTCATATGTCTCAACACCAAAAAAAAACAAATAACCTGGTTTTTAAAAATTGGCAGAGGACCTGAACAGATATTTTTCCAAAGAAGAAATACAAATGGCCAACAGGCACATGAAAAGATGCTCCACATCACTAACCATCAGGGAAATGCAAATCAAAACCAAAATGAGTTATCATCTCACACCATTTAGAATGGCCACTACCTAAAAGACAAGAAATAACAAGTGCTGGCGAGAATGTGGAGAATGGAAACCCTCCTACACTGTTGGTGGGATGTAAATTGGTACAGCTGGTATGGAAAGCAGTATGGAGGTTCCTCAAAAATATAAAAATAGAAATACCATATGACCCAGTAATTTCACCTCTAGAAATTTACCTGAAGAAAACAAAATCCCTGATTTGAAAAGATATATGCACCCCTATGTTTATTGCTGCATTATTTACAATAGCCAAGATATGAAAGCAACCAAAGTACCAAGTATCCATCAATAGATGAATGGATAAAGATGTGATACATACACAGTGGAATATTATTTGGCCATAAAAAGGAAAGAAATCCCACCATTTGTGACAACATGGATGGACCTAGAGGGTATTATGCTCAGTGAAATAAGGCAGTAGAGAAACACAAATACCATATGATTTCACTTATTTGTGGAATATAAAAACAAACAAACAATGAACAAAATAGCAATAGACTCATAGACACTGAGAAGTGACTGGTGGTGACTATGGGGCGGGGGTTTGGGGAGGGCGAGAGGGGAAGGATATAAAAGGGCACAAAAAAACCTCAATCATAAATTGGTCACAGGGATGGTAGTAGAGCACAGAGAACATAGCCAGTGGTTCTGTCACATCTTCCTAAGTTGACAGATAGTAACTGTGCTGGTGGGGGTGAGGATTTAGTAATAAGGGGAACTGTTGAACCACTGTGTTGTATACTTGAAACCAATACAAGCTTGGATACCAACTTTACTTTAATTTTAAAAAAAAAAGTCTAAGTAATCCTCTGTACTACCAATCCTGGGACTTGATACCACATCCTGCCAGTGCTACATCTGGGCTTCAAATTTCCTAAGGAAATTGGACTTGTTTTACTATGTCATTTTATCTTCACCACATAAGCATTAGCCAGTAAGTTGCTAAATATAAGGACATATTTTAGCTACATCCTTCCAACTAAAAGAGTGCTTTTGGTTGCACCTATACCCACTGTTGAGTCTTACTATTTCACTAAGGTTGTCTGTAAGCTTTGGATCAGTCCATATGTTACATTTACTTCAGAACAACACTCAGAAAGTCTTCTATATCTTTAAGAGACCAGCCATAGAGCCAAAATGTTCCAAACTCCAAGGGGCTGTAAGAACAGTATTCATGAGGAGAATCTAACATTGATTTACTAATTTCCAGGTCCTTAGT